GAAGCTGGCTGGCCGCTGATTACGTGGGGTCCTTGCAGCGGTGCATTTGGCAGAGAGGTGACCCAGCTGCCGGCAATTGTAGCACACAGCCTTGCTCAAGTCTTGGCCGGGGCGATGGGCGGGAGCTCCGTGTTTTGATGTGATGGCAAGGTATCGTGCCTCCTGCTGTTCTTGTGAAAGAGACGAAATGCGCTGTGGTATGGCAGACACACGTTCAGCTCGATTTGAAGATTGAGTAGAGGAAGGCGTTGCGTGTGGTTTGGCAACTGGTGGCCTTGCACTTTCAGCCTCCGTGCGGTTTGACCTTAGATGAGAATGGCTTAAAGTCTGGTCGAGTCGTGTTACAATGTCCATGTATGCAGGGACCGTAGCAGGACACTGCGCTGTGATGGATGTCGCTAGATGTTCGTCATTGATGCCTTGAACAGCATACTCTATGCGCTGAGCATCAGTCAGCACGACGGGGCATTTCGAGATGAGTTTTAGTTTTGCCAGGGAATAGTTGACGAGGCTCTCTGCAGGCGACTGCACCAGAGCGGTGACCTTGTGCTGCCACTGCAGAAGCGTAAGGCGATCACCGAACTGCGCCTGGAAGGCGGCCTTAAAGCTGTCCCAAGTTAGGCACTGGCGTCCAGAAACAGCTTTCCAGTTAGCGGCTGGGCCTCGCAGCTTGCCGAGGGCGACTGCGAGGAGTGTCGAGGGCTCCCAGGAAGCCAGTCCTTGGGTTCGCTCCAGCTCCTCGATCCAATGGCGGGCCGAAATACCTCCATCGCCGCTAAAAGTTGGAAGCGACGCGGACAAGTCCGGCAGGGTAGTCACCTGCACAGGGGCTGGTGCACGTTGAGACACGGTCAGGAACTGCTGCAGCAAGCTTGTCAGTAGCTGCGTGGACTGCGCCGGGTCGAGAGTCGGGAGAGGCGATGACTCTTGCGGGCCTTCTGCGGAGGCCGCCGAGTCGGGAAGAGGCAGGGTCGATGGCGGTGGCGGGGGGCTTCGGGCGATGTCGTCCAGGAGGCGGTGGATGATTTCCTCTTTGGATCCGGCGACGTCAAGTTTGCGACGAGACAACTCGTCGCGAAGGTATTCCGCCGTAAAACCGGTGAGGTCGCTTGGCGTGGCTTCGGCCCAATTGACAAGAGGCATGGCGGGCGGGCGGGCGGGCGAAACAAAAGATGCGACTCGTTCTTCAGGCGAGTTAGGCAGGCGGTGCGGGCGGGCGAGTGGCATCCAGGCTCCTTGACATGTCGACTGCGCCAAATGTGAGGGTACTGATGACAGAGGCAGAGTTAAACGTTTAAAGGGTTTAATAACGATGGCAAATTTATACGGCGGTTATGGCGGGAACATCGCATGGCGGGAGCGTCCCAAGGAGGTTAGAAGTACTAGGAGGGGGCACGTTGCAATATTGGTGAAGCCTAGTCATAAAAAGTTTAAACGATTTTGTGCCCAGCGTGACCGCAGATCTCTCTGGCGATTGGTGCGTGTGACATGTCACGTGTGAGATGGATGGTTGATTGTAGAAGGACTCCTTGCAGGCTTGCGCGCGCCCCGTCCGGTAGGTCCTATCAGATCGAAGTCTAGACTGTGGTGTATTCTAGTACTCCATTGCAAGACGAAGGCTAGCTACGGTCACGTGGTGTAGTCACGTTGGCACGGTAAGTGAGGAGAGTAAGGAGGAAAATGAGAAAGAGGCGAGGCGTCAAGGGAGCATGGCTTGTGGAGGCTACGCGGCCGACGTCATGCCCTCTCCTACCCTTCTATTCTCCATGGAGCGTCCTCTAGAGTTCCCTGGTTGGGCCAGGCTTGGCTTTGTGAACAACAAGATGTCGGCAGGTGGCGCTAGTAATGAGCCTGCTCACAATGAAATAAAGAAGTCATACTGCTGGTTAGTTATGTTTAATAGAACGATTAGAGTTTGCAGGTTGTCAGTATTTTCAAGTGATGTCTATTGTTTTGTGTATTTATATACTTTTCGTACCTCCCGATTTTGCACGTTACTTTACAATTTACAGAAAAGTCCTAGTTTTTCCTTTTTTTTTGTTCTTGTAACGTGCATTATTTTCTAATATCTCCCAATATCCCGCGGAGACCATTGTGGCGAAGACCGCTTTTTGGGCTCTTCACCCTCTTCACCATTCCATCATCATCATCATACCACAAGCATCCAGCCAACAAGCCCTGATCAACCGCAACATCAAGCCGCAACCTCGCCCACAAGCACCATTTCAACATCATCATGCACCTTGTATGATGTACCAGCACATAATCACACTTACTAGGAGCGGCACCGCGGGCCTCTGTAATACGGGCTGTTTCCTTTCCGCGGTGCCGTGGTTCTCCCGAACCATTAAAGATGATTATGATTATGATCTTAACTTGTACAATACTTGCATTGGCGGCTGTGAAATATTGCTAGGTGCTCATGTGTAATCCAGTCTTGTTTTATGACTACCAGGTTTGAAACCTGTGAATGTACTGCAGGGCCCCGCGTACAAATGTACTACGCTTGAACGGGCCAGCGGCTTCCTGTTTGTATTTTTGCCTGAAGTTTCCGGCATTTCCGGCGAAGCGCGGAAGTCCCAGACGCGCCGCGCGAGGGTCGAGCACATCTTAGTAAGGCCCGCACCCTCGCACCCCGGCGCATTTTCATTAGTTCTTAGGGGATCGCCAGGTGGAGCAGCCTGCGTCGATGGCCACGCGTTCCGGCGCTCGGGTTTCATTCCGTGCTGACTGTACATCCACGTTTTATATAGGAATGTCGCCAACGTTTGTCGAATGGTTCGGCGGCGAACCTTTGATCTTATAACGAAGTTCGACGAAGTTCGACTTGTGACCGGTGATGCTCAACAACTACACGAAACTTTCGAATTTCGAGGAACAAATAACGTTTAGAGTAGTTCATCTTATGTTTTACAAAACGAATGCCAATGATTACGTAATATACAAGCAAAATCATGTACTTTGAATGCTTTAGTTAGTAAAATCTTGGAACAATGAAACAGTATACTCGACAAATATTTTGCATTTTTTCTCTTCCAGGTGGCGTCAGATCTACCTTTTCAAAGTTCTTCAGTCGAACCTTTGTCGAACTTCGCTTCTGAAGTTCGAAAAAACAAATACACTTAAAATGTATTACGTGTAGGAATGCGAAAGCATTCCTACAAGCAGCGCGCCACGTCTTCCTATCGCATACGGCGCTCGGGCGGTGACATCACTCTCCCCCACTGCGCAGGCGCGGCGAACCCCGCCGGCTTCACGGCTTCTGTGACGATGCATCTGCGTTGCTGTGCTTTTGGCCAATGGGAATTTAAGTGCCGCTTCGCAGCTACACACGGTCACAGACAACGCCGGCTTCGCTCCATGGAATACTTAATGCTCTCGCATTAAGATCAAACCTGGTTGAACACGACAGCTCAAAAAACGTAGGGCGTGGCGAGCCCCGCGCATCTCATTATCGTTCCACAGCCAATGGGAATGGAGCACTAGTGGACAAGAACGTCGAAGAACCAATCCTGAAGCAAGAGGCGTGAACACAATGAGCCACACCCTGCCTTTCTTAAGCTGTCAGTGGCCATGCGGATCGCAAGTTCGTCTCCTTCTTGCGCAGGGGTTTGCGGCGACGTCAGAACGCCGAGTTCTGATTGGTTTTGAATGGAAGGATAGTGGGTAGACCTCAATGCTAACTGCCCGGAGGTCCACCCACTATCCTTCTCATCGAGCCAATCGGAGCTAGGCGTTCTGACGTCACCCCAACCCTCGTGCATGGAGCAGACGAACTTACGCTCCGTATAGTTTTATATCTCCACTGTCCTTGGCTTGACTGATTTTTATGACAGTCGTAACTCAGTCACAGTACATTTGTATTGGGAAATGATTGTGTCATGTTATTACTGGACCTCGAAATCTCATATTCCACCTTCCCATTCACGCCACGACCTCCGTATCTAAAAGGGCTTGACACGTTTGCGTTCTTAACGCAGAAGCACCACAATGTTCTATTCTGAGTATGATAACGGCAACAAGCTTGTTATTAACCCATTAAATAGAAAAGCTTCGTCTTCTAATGTTATTAAATTTAAAATCCAAATAATCTAATTTCATTGATTATACTCCGTTTCACTTTAAGTACGACAACAGCCAATAATACGATCAGACGAAGCCAATCGATTGGCTTCGTCCGCGTTTGTTTCCTTTGTGAGTTAGCCATAACCGGCTAAACAAACGACGCACAGAAATACTCAAGATCTCGGCATATGTACTGGTTTAGTAGTAGTAATTAGTAGTAGTAGTTGTCGTAGTAGTCGTATTTTAGTAGGCGTCCTTAGTTTACTCGGAGATGGGAAACGCACAAAGACAATGAGCGTTGTCACGATGCCCCTTTGGCGTCCCTTGATTACCACCCTATGCGGACCGCAAGTTCGTCTGCTTCTTTTGCAGGTGCTGAGGTGACGTCAGAACGGCGAGCTCTGATTGGTTTTGAAGGAAAGTTAATTGGTAGACCTCAAGGCAGCTTGCTTTGATTTGAGGTCTACCCACTATCGTTCAATCAGAGCCAATCAGAGCCACAACTCTCGCGCAACAAGCAGACGACTTGCTCTCCGCATAGGGTTGTAGCGTCGGCTGCAGTCGGACATGAAGTGAAGCGAAGTATACTACGTAGGGATTGATTATATCACCGCAGCGTTCTTAAAAAGGCTTAAGGCCGGTTCAGACACTTGCGTTCGAGTGCGTTTGACTGCGTTCCGTCGAGAACCGAAAGCGAGTCACCGGGGCAACTGTGCTTCGTATGAAGCGTGGAATCCAATTCAAGGAATCATCTTAGCACGCGATATAAGCAGCAGGGATGTCCTGGTTTCTCGCAGCCGCAACGCAGTCAAACGCAGTCAAACGCAACTGTCTGAACCAGGCTTTACAACTAGACTTTCTACGGTCCGAGTACACGTCTAACTGATCCGGGATGATTCGTTCGCTTTGACTCGTCTTTCACTGTTATTCAACTGTCAAAATCGTTTATTCACTTCCGAATTTTCGAGATGGGTCAGTTTCATGGACGTCTCGAAGAGTTCCCGATTCCGCTCGGCGTTGCGAGCCCTCCAGTTGATCCAGGCTTTCCGGCAATCGGAAAAGTAGCAGCCCGTTTCGCCGCTGAGTTTGGGATCCACAGCAGCGTAGATGGACGTTTGAGCTCCTTCTGTGGCGGTCTGAAAAGATCGGCGTTTGTACGGCCATTTCTCGTTAGTACGAACCCCGGTAATATTGATACACCGCTCTATAGAAAGCATTCGAGGGAACGAACTGAGTCGATGCATGTATTTTTGGTCTCGTCATTATCCGGAGGGCAAGTTCGTCTGCTTCTTGCGCAGGGGGTAGCAGTGACGTCAGAACGCCGAGCCCTGATTGGCTGTTCGTGACCCCCTATCTGAGCGTCGTCTGCTCCTTTGCAACGTCGTCTGCTCGCAACATCGTCTGCGTATGTCTTACCTTTCCTGCGACTTTCGGAAGTGCAGAGGCCAGATTTACGAAACGATCTTACGCCAAAAATGTGCGTAAGACATAACTTAAGAACAAATTCGTCGACAAACAAATCCTACGACAGCTTCGAGGCACTTTTTACGATCAAATCAGCATGGCCGACAGCGTCGCGGTCGCGACGACCCACGGACGTTTATTTTTTACGTGCGCTTCTCACGCGTCCCGACTTCAAACAGCAAGAAAAAAGTAAAAAGTACTTGAAACAGACCACGACGAACAAGCACGCTGGATACGCAAACAGCTGGGAAAAGCTCCAGCGGCCACGATTCCACCGAACGCGACTAAGCGAGCACGGCAGTTAGGCCTAGCAGGCACTCCGCGACTCGGCGAGCGTCTGCCTACGACCGGCTGGTGCGCTGAATGGAATATGCCCGCGCGACCCTTGTGAACCCTTCCTGTATTATACTTTGATCGCTGACCTCAGTTTTAGATTAAGAGGTCAATTTCTTCCTCTTGTTATCTCTTTGTTTCCCGAGGCAACGGTGACTCTCGCCGGTGAAAAAGCGGTGAATCTCCGACAGACGCAGGAAAGGTAAAGCAGCCATCGCTTTGACTAGCAGACGTAAAGCAGACGACGGTAACTGCGCCAACCCGCCGACGCCATTAAAGAATGAGGGGTCTCGCCGCACACGAAAGGAGGGAAAAAGTATTTGGGAGGGAACTTGCGGATACTAACACGCTCACCTCTCAGTACTTAGCAAACAAACCTCGGCGCCTCTTGACACCTCGCCAGTGAGTCTTTTGACTTCCCTCCCTGATGCGTGTCTGCTAGTTGTTAGATTAAAACAACCTACCGCTCGAGTTATTTCGTCTGCCCTCTCTGAAAGGCAAAGCCGAGCTCGCTCGTAAAGACCTGCACTTCCGAAAGTCGCAGGAAAGGTAAGACAGACGCAGACGACGTTGCGAGCAGACGACGTTGCAAAGGAGCAGACGACGCTCAGATAGGGGGTCGCGATCAGCCAATCATGGCTCGGCGTTCTGACGTCACCGCTACTTCCTTTCTCATGCGCAGAAGACGAAAATGAGCCCACCTGCGAGGCGTATAAACGCCTCAGATTAAGGTCTCTTTCTTAGCTCAACGGTGAATGCCCATATTAACGAGACATCACTTAAAATACCGAGTACTATAAACCTATTTATTTTCGCGGCTCCATACGTCACAAACTTTGCAAAATGTTAGTTACGAGAGTATTTTGCGACTCCAAAATTTCGCGAATTAAAGTTGTGTATGCTATGTGCTTGTTACCATATTCGCGTGATCACTTTTTTTTAACATTTTTAAAGTCCCGAAAATTTCGAAAGTTCTATCCTCTTAAAAATTAAACCGTTTACAATATATTCGGTTTAAAAAATGTTTAAGGCTCCTAGTTTGAAACTTATAGTTCGTAAGCAATTTAGTAAAGGCAATGTGGAAAACGAAACCATGTTTAAATCAAGGAACGGCATAGAAAACAAGATGCAAGATAACAGCAGCACCAACTGTCAAAACTTCAGTTGAAACATGACCTAGTCTTAAAATTGATGGTAAAAATTAATAATCAATAACAAAAAAAGTAAAAAACATGTATCCAGCTAGTAAAACAACAGTAGCAGCGGGATCGATGACGAGTTTTAATTCAAGCACGAGACAGTAGAACTGCGTAACAAGCGCTAAAGCGGGGAAAAAAAGACACTTGAATAGCCGCGTAGCATCATCACGACATGATGAGAAAAAAAACGGTTGCTAAAAGTGTTGATGGTGAAGGTTTTCGGTTATTAACCGCTACAAATGGAGGAATTCAGGTCTCATCCTTTCTGTCTTTTCGCCGTGATGCCACAACGTGATTAGATGGCGATCAGTGATTACTATCGAAAACGGTCTAATTACATTATATCCAATTTTAAGATGGTTTTACACCACGTTGTTTCCTTTCCGCAATGTAAGTGAACCTTTTTGCCATATTTCCTATTTGTTTGCTTGTAAGCAATTCTTTTTTAGTGGCCTCGTTTCTGATGTTGATAACATTCAGAAGCAATGGGGTTGTGTTGCCGAATTGTGAAATATTTTCACATATTCTAGAGGAAAACTTAGCACCAAGGGACACAAAAACCTAATTTGAAAGCATATAAATTATAAAAAGAAATGTTTATTAAACATTTCTTATTTTTCTCCTGCCTTTATATTGGACATTTCTTTGTCGACTTCAGCTGTTTTTTTTGTTTTTTTTTTCGCGATTTGTAAGCACAGAGTTGGAGTGGCTCGATCGTCGATGGAACACAAGCAGTGCGATTCAAAACGTAATTGTGTCGCGTAAACTCTGGCATGCTCCGTTACCTTTTCGTAAAAATCCTCCTGACGCATCTGCCGGGACCTTTTCGCTTAACCGTCGGTCCGTTTTAAATTATACTAATGTCATAAATCAGTGAAAGTTAAGCCTCTCCTGATACTCATTTATGCCACCGTCTATTTTACGGGCGCAGTCAATCGCAAAGCAAAACAAACCGAGCGAGTCGGAAAACAATTCATCCGAGCATAACAAAAACATGACGAACGTTCATTTACGTAAATGCATTCAAACGAGAGTTTCAGAAGGATGCAAGTAGGTCGCGTGAGACCGTATTATAAATGACACAAAGCTGTTAATCTCTTCTTTCACCTCAACATGATGCCATCTTGCCCCGCTTTTCTATACGATGATTCCACAACATATATTCTATAAACATGCCGAGGGCTAAGTTGTTGTCTCATTTATTCACCTCAAATCTATGCCGCATAGTCGGTGCGAATAGACAAAACAGGCATCATCCAGCTCGGAATGTGCCGAATTTCACGCCTTAGTTTAGATATCAAGGTGTAGTATGGATCGGCGACTGCAGAGTCAGTTATTTCAAGAATAGGCTTACCGCTCCACATGACATGATTCCGAACGTCATTAAAAACCACAGATAGCGAGGAGCACTTTCCTATAGATATCTAAAAAAAGGGGTTTGTCGTGACAATTGGTTTAGTTTTTAGCAAAGTAAAAATAAACAGAAGACATGCACAGTTACGACGTGAGGGCCTCTAGTATGCTCAGAACGTATAAACTGAGTTTACGCGATAAAATAAGGATATCGAATGCAATTTTAGTACCCGCATAACCTAGCTCGAATATTTTTAGAAACCATTTTGTGCGTGTGTGTGCTCCTTATATATATATATATATATAAAATTAAAAAATTGACCCAAAATCCGTGCCTGAGTTGAGATGAAATCACCCATATATATATATATATGGGTGATTTCATCTCAACTCAGGCACGGATTTTGGGTCAAATTTTTAATTTTTACCAAAAAAAAAAAGTTGTCGGGCAATTCCTATAGTAAAAGAAGACGCATACGGCAATGTCGTCGGATTTTTCGTTCTCAAGTTATGGACCGTTGAAGTGGTCAAGGTGGAAATTGATGTTTTTCCAGCTTATCGGAGGTGCCATATTTCACTCCATCCCTTTTCCCTACTTTTTACGCAACATCAATATAACTTTTTGGGAACACTCTAGACATAGGCTTTTTTATGCTAATTAAGCATCTAGGTCATAGCATTCTTAATGATTTTTTTTTATTTGTCAACCCGGCTCCCTGCGACGATATTTGACGAAGTTCAGCAAGCTGTGCTGTGTGATTTAATCAACATTTTTTTATGATCTTTATATCATCGTAAAGCTCCAATTAAGCTTTTGGGTATTTTCCAGAAATCTTTTTTTAAAATTTAAATTCGCCGTGACAACAGCCGCTCGATTTCTCGATGAGCGTGCGTTGGCCAGCATTCCGAGCTTGATTAGTAAGTAGTAAACATCATACCTCTAACCCTAGAGTCCTAGAGACCCTAGAGACCTACGAGGGACGCTCGCCACAATAGTTGCTCTTCTTGCAAAAACAAAGTGTATGTTTATGAATATTTTTGTATTCCATTATATTGAGGCTGTTACATATAGCTACGAAAAAAACACTCCATTTGAAATGAAATGATGGGACCGCAAAAAACTTACCTTTCCAAATATCCAAAAGTTGATTCGAAAAGCAAGATCCCTGCCCAGAAGGCCGTCTGATAATCCGGTCTCCATTACGCCAGGATGAAGAGCATTCACGGTAACACCTGGGATCGAACCAAAATGTAAGATACTCAATACGAGACACTTAAAGAATGCTGAAAGTAATTCTTACAAAATTAAAGTGTAAACGTATCTTCGATTCAACCCTCGATGACCGAGCCAATGCCCTGAAAGTGCATCGACTTCGGGCAACATAAAAAGTGCACACACAAAAAAAATGTTACACCATTTGTGCAAGTCAGTTCGTCCCAGGGCTAACACCCTAAGGGTATTAGCCCTGGGACGTGTTAGCCCTGCGACGTCCTAGGGTGACCACCCTAGAATACGGCGAGAAACTGAGAGAGAGAGAGAGGTGATGCGAGTGAGCGGCGCCGTCAAAGCGCCGAGCCCTGATGGGAAGGAGAGCAGGCAAACACAAAGGCCAGATGTCTTTGTGCCTGCCTGCTATCAGACTTGTACGGTACTAATCACAAGTAATCAAAGTACGTGTAATTGAGTAGTTTTTTTTTAAGTAATGTTCTAGTCATTTTATTACATTTATTGGGAATTAATCGCAACAGTAATCCAATTACTTTAAGAAGTAGTAAATAACTTGTTACCGTCATATTTTTTCCCCTCCCGTTTCCGTTGGCGCCCTTTCTTCGGACAAGTTTCATACCACGGAATCATCGAACCAAATCTCTCGCAGGAGTATCGTTTACCAAAATCGGTGGATTAAAAAGATGAGTAGTCCATAAATCGGTGATTCTAATCCAATAATGGACAGCACGAAAGACCCGTTTTCAAGCCGGCCGAAAACACTGTCCTTCTGAAAGTGAATTGATCGGAGAAGTAACGGTTACTTCTTCGAGTAACTGCCAGTTACTTTTCATCTAGACTAATCAAGTAATCTAATTGAATACCTTGTTGAGTAAGAGTAATTTTAATTGTAATCGATAACGTTTTTTTTTTCTTTTTTGCAGTAACGCCTGCAAGATGGCTACTGTATCCCTCCAATCCCAGCAAACAAGAGCTCGTCGCCTGCTCTTCGCTCGCTTGTATGGCGTTCGAATGCCGGACGCTAGACTTTGCGCCTACTCACTATATATCCTTCCAATCACAGCACCCCATTTTACAAGTAAAAATCAGTATTGCTTAAAATAAGGGAGCTAAAAGGGTGTAGCTGTGAGTGATTTTTAACGAGAATTTTACACTCTCAATGGTGTCAAATGTTTTTGCGTGCACATTCGAAATAATATTGTAATTTTTTTTAACGATTCGGTTACCCTTGAGGGCTGGCCAATTAAAAGAAGCATGTCACATTGTAGATTCTGTCAGGTGTCGCAGAAAAAAAAACAAAAACTTCATACATAAAGTTATTCTTTTCTTTATTTATGACTGTTAAAGGTGTGTAACGGTTTTTTATATCGAGACCACTCCCCCCCCCCCCCCCACACACACACACACACACACATTTAAGTAAAATGTTATTCAATTTTGTGAACATTCAGATTAGGAGCAATTTTGCCGTAACCTGTGCAGCTACGGACTTCTGCATTTCAACTATTTCTTATTAATCTTCTCAAGAGGACGTCATTAAAATTCCAAACTTTACTTTACCCCGCTCAGAAGAAACGTGTATATCGAATAAATTACCGAGAACGCGCTTATTACACGTACAATTCATTCCTTCGATGTGTGTCAAAAGTCTAAACACACCATGATCAAAGGAGGTTGTGATCTATACCGAGCCCTTAGGGACGCACTGCATCGAGAGACATACCTGACACAACCTGTGAAGGGAATCTATTTCTATAGCTGCGAAAACAATTTTTTTTTAAAAATAGGATTTAACATTAAATTGAAGCTTTACACACTCGAACCTGGAATGAACATCGTTCATTGTTTTATGACGGACTGGCGGCTGTGACCTTCTACATTAGCAAAAGCACCCATTTGTTGTGCCACTGGAGGGGCCAGTTGATCTTCTATGATCCCTGTAGTCACGGGAAGCTTAAATGCAAGGCGTAGTGAATCCCGAGCGTTCTATTATCGTTGCAGAGACAATAAGATTGCCTGTTTAACCGGTAAGAACGCATCAACCAAAACAAAAATCACGAACCGTGTGGCTTGAACGTACGTACAGCGTTCCTTAAACAGTGAGAGCCTATAAAATCAGAAAAGTTTAAAAAGAACTCCAGTACGAGGGAATTGAAATTATTGATTGATAACACGATATATTGCATTTCCTCCTCAAATGGAGGCAACTTTCAGCGACTGTGTACCGCGGTGTGAGAAAAGTTCTCCCTAGCTCCTGGCGTTAAGGCCCGTTCACAATCTTGCAACCGAGTACGACCGAGAGAGACGAGATATGTTGAAACTTCTTAAAATTTCTTAGGACGAGAGAACACACTGGCACGCTGCCGCCATCTATGCGGTGACTCCGGAACTGCATTTCACAAGAGCGAAAGTTTTGCGGGATTTCCGAGGTAAAATGTGCGTAATACTTAGAAGAAAGGCTCGTTTATAACTTTGAGAAAAGCTTTTCAAGCCAAAGAAGAAAGGATAACCCGCGAGCGATATAGAAAATATGCCGGACTGCCAAGTTTACACTGCTACTCAATAGATGGCGCCAGTGTGTGCTCTCGATGTTGATATTGTACTAATGGCTAACAACAGGACAGAGTTGCAGGAATTAATGAGCATCTGTGGTAGGGAAGGAGAGGAATTAGGTTTAGAATTCAGTAGCGAAAAATCGGCAGTCATGATTTTTAACGAGGATGAAGTTGAGAGGCTGAAGATACAGAATATTACAGTTGAGAGAGCTAGTAAATACAAGTATCTAGGAGTATGGATATGTGATGGTGCAGAATATCTCAGAGACCATGAAAAGTATATAATAGGTAAGGGTAACAGAAATGCAGCTGTAATGAAAAATAGAGCACTTTGGAATTACAACAGGTATGAGGTGGTGAGAGAGATTTGGAAAGGGGTCATGGTGCCTGGCTTGACTTTTGGAAACGCAGTGCTATGCATGAAATCCGAAGTGCATGCGAGACTAGAAATAAAACAGCGCGGAGTAGGTAGACTGGCTTTGGGGGCACATTGCAAAACGCCAAACCAGGGAGTACAAGGAGACATGGGATGGGCATCATTTGAGAGCAGGGAAGCGGTGAGCAAGGTAGAATTTGAGGATATGTTGAGGCAAATGGACGGGGAGCAATGGGCACGAAAGGTTTTCAGCTATTTATACATGAGGAGTGTAGACACAAAGTGGAGACAGCGCACTAGGAAATTAAGAGGAAAGTTTTTGGGCTATAGCGAAGATACGGAAGAGCAAGTCTCAGTTAAGAAGAAAGTTAAGGCCACAGAAAGAGATTGGTGGCTAGAGGGAATGCAGACAAAGACGGCTCTGGAAAGCTATAGATTAAACAAAAGAGTTATTGCCAAAGAAAGCATTTATGACAATTCTAGGGGAAGCTCATTGCTGTTTGAGGCAAGAACGGGTGTTCTGCGAACCAGAACATACAGAGTGAAGTACCAGGAAATTGATACAGTGTGCACTGCTTGTGGAGAGGAGGACGAGACGGCTGAGCACTTGATACTCTACTGTAAAGGGCTTCACCCTATGCCTACCGAAGACAACATAGATTTAATAAAGTCATTGGGTTTTAGAGACAGCGAAGGGAGAGTGGATTTCAAGATTGTAGAGATTACCAAGCAAAGATTAAGTGAATGGTGGCAGAAATCGAGAGAAAACTAGGTATTTTCTTATCCACTGATGGCAAGGGGGTTTCATAGCCTCACTTTCTTTGCACTGCGGAGTGAATATAGATTTCACATTTAAATATTCTAAGCTTAAATGGTAAAACAAAATGGCTAGGTGGCGTAAGCTACCGCCCGATCCAAAGGGCTCAGCCGTATTCATCCATCCATCCATCCGATGTATTAGGTTTCAAGGAACCCAGTTCTAAGAGGTCGCAAGAGTGAACGGGCCTTTAGGGGGAAAGATTTAGAACAAAGGTGCTTGCTTGCACCTTCCTGATTGGAAGTATGGCGTTGAAACTCTCATGTGCAGAGATTTTTCTTTTACTTTTTATTCTCGATGTAATTTTTTTTATGTTTGGTTTGTCTTAGCCATGAGTTTGTTCTCTGAATAGAACTGATTTTTATATCGCCCGTATTTCATAAAATTATAATTAATTACACGCCGCAGATCGAACATCGTACGCACCGCTGCCGTTCTACGTCAATCATTCACGTGACAGCCATTTTGAAAGGATCTAGAGCGACCCCTATAGGGCGTGAAAGTTGCGGGTCCCAAAGCGCCACTTCAAGCATTCGCAATTTCTTAATCGTCACTCGTTTACCTACCGTCATCCTTGAGCCTCTTGGCGAGCTCGATGGTAAACATGAGGTTGGCCATCTTGGTGTGATTGTAAGTGCTCGTCGGGCTAGATCGAAGCGTGCCTCTTATTCTCTCCTCCATGCGATCTGTAGCCCCCGCGTGGTGCAACGCTGACGACACGTTCACCACTCGACTAGGGGCCGTCTTCTTCAGCAAATCTGCACAAAGCGTAGCGTGATTCAGATGCTCTTAAAGTACAAGGCGATGAATGTTTTCCTATAACGGCCCGTTCACATAGTTGCGTTTGAATCCAACCAACTGCGACACGAGCTGTGTTTAGGCATCTTGTGACTGCTTAGGACCGACTACGCTGCTGCATAGCCGGTCGTAACCCGTCTCCGGTCGTAAGCAGTCGCAAGTGTGTGAACGGGCATTCAGTCTGTAGCGACAGCAAGCGCCTCGTTTTTTAGCTTTTGATTGTTAATTCTTTATAAATAAGGCCTTGGGATTTACGTTTTTAAATTCGGATGCGTTTTTTTTTTTTTAGGTTTTCTTTTTGTGGATTTGGTGTCTTCTGGGGTAAAGTTTCAGTATCGGAGACAAAACAATCGCGAGGTTTACCCGGGCGTATGAGGCAAATAGTAAATATGCATAAGACTTCTCAACCGCGGGAGAACATTTGCATGATCAGAACATGTGTAAAGCGCCCCTGTACCGATAACAAAAGAATTCAAGGTAAGGAATGTGGCTCCGAAGATAAGAGAAACCACTCCGGCAGTTCATTGAGAGCTGTGTTCAGGCTCGACGCAAAAATTAAAGCCGTAGATAGATATTTTGTCTCGTGAAGTGTGGGTTTCTTTTATTTATTTTTTGTCTGCTCTTGTTCGCGTTTTTTTTTTTTTCTCGGTTTTCTCTGATTTTGATGACACTGGCCGAGGCTTGATTATCGGGGTTTATCGGTATTTACCGAAAGCACGTGCGGTACTCTGTACATTATCATAAAAACTGTTACTCTTTCGTTTTTTTTTTTTTTTTTTTAATTTGAAAACTGTTACCCTTTCGTATATTGCTGCTTAATATAAACAATAAAGACAAACAGCGAACATTTTTGCGTCAAGCTGAATTCGTAAAACTACCAAGTAATTATGGTGGACAAGTTGCGTTTTGTTTATTCATTGGCATGCGTTACATCAAACGCTACGATTTACATGCGTCTTTTTTTAATTGAAGTAATATTAACCGCGCGAATTCACTATGGGGATCATATTTCTCGTTTACTTCATTGGCGAGAATATTGAAACTGGTTCCTGCTTAAGCACACATCGCGACCACATAACATACAGACGGGCTTATCAATATGGTTGCTCCACGCTGACCATAAGGGTCATAGAGATAAATCCGGAAAACTCACTATATTCAAGAAAACACACAGAGGCAAAGATAAAACGGATATCTGCCGTTTTTGTTTTGTGCTTTGCTCGGTCTGCCGTAACGTCTTCCTGGCTGACAGACTATCTGACAGTTTGGGCAATGCTGTAAACTTGTGTCTTCTTGTAGCCATACCACGCAATGATATGCTGAGGCCATGGTGGAAGAAATACATTTAGGTGATGACTCTCTGCCCGACGCGGCGACCACATTATGTTCGGCGCACCGAGCGCGCTTCACTCGCACGGGGATAGATGGCGCCCAAGTATAGAGGTGCTTGTGAAGACTTGTATAGAGGGCTTCAAGGAAATTATGCATTCTTTGACGAAAATAATCCCTGGAGAAGGGGAACAAGGGGGACAAAGGACAAACATAAATGTCCAAACACAGCTAGGTGACTGGTGAGCGACCGAAAAAATCCGCATGGTCCGGGTATCGAACCCGGGACCTCTCCATTACAAGTGGAGCGCTCCAAATGAGCTAACCAGGGGTTAAACGCCAGTAGAGCAAACGGGTTTTATCAGCTGCCACCAATCTAACACCAACAAGGGTGAAGCTTGCAAATTTAAAGTTGATATTACTCGGTCCCTGTGTACTGTGTGGTGAAATTATGAATTTATGTTGGCGCATTGGCACTGAGTGCCTTTTCCCCGTGCGGTTGCTGTTTTTTAAGCGAGAACATTTCGATGAAGACTCAACGTGACAAAAATACTCGCATAAATACAAAACTTCCCGACACAATCTACTGGGCTTTCAATAGTTTAGAGTACTTTTAAATAATTCCGTTAAACAGCTGGGTCGTGCTTGCATGTTTGGTCCGACAGCATGTTTGGTAACAGCTCCGTAAATTGCTTTCACACATTGTGTGGATTCATAGGAGGTCGGGAGACTTTCTCCATTCTGCTTCTGTCTTCTTATTAAAAAAAAAAATTCTAATATTGTTACATAGTGGGGCCTAAATATTTCTTTACATGCGCAAAAAGTGTTAGCATTACAAATGGTTTATACATATGATGTCAATTGTACTGTGGTGCATACAAACCATGTGAGCAGAAATTTTTTTTATTTATGATGACATATTGACTGAAATGATGGCACGGTATGACGACGTACTGACTGAAATTATGACACAGTGACTGAAAGCCGAACAGTAGCAGCGGCTGTAGGACATAAATCAATTTTCATCTATACACTCACAATATGGTGACACCCGGCCTTACACGTCTTACAGGTCTTACAGGTAACGTATAAGGTACTTCGGGCAGCCAGGGAAAATGCTCAGAACAGCGTCTACAGATAGGAGAGGCTTCTTTTCGGCATTAAGGAGAATCTGCCACCGAACTCCGCATGATACAATTTCGATATCAGTTCGTCGGGCAAATGCTTGGCAGAAACATGATCACTAGGTAGTGACTTGCGATCGGCCCTCGGGATTGCACGACACCACTGCTCCGCGCGAGCGGCATTCAATAGAGCTTTAAACGAGGATACTCGCTCTGCACAGTTCCGGTATCCCGAATTGCAGTTGGGAACGAAGCACGTCTTTCCCCATCCTTACAGCATAACTTCTTCTTCGGGTTAAGGCTCACCTTCGCGCACAACGGTGGCACCTGCGATTGAAACAGCACCAAAGCAAAACACGAAGCCAGCCACTTGCCGCACACCACCACCACACCGCGAGAAAGGTGAGCACACTACGCCGCCGACACCGTGGCCGCCCAGGAGGGACCTCATACCCACGGTGCTCATAGCTCAGCGCCCTCCGCAGCGGCGCGTAGCTAACTACTCCTGGTTCGAGGCTAGCTCCGAACACGATCTGGTCGCTCGCTCCCCGCGGGGAGAGCGGCCAGAGTCATCACCTAAATGGATTTCGTCCACCGTGGCTGAGGCGACTTATCGACGCGAAGCAATTCAAGTATTGCTGCCCCCTGTCGTATTTTCGGCTCATTTTTGAGCAAGTCGCGAATTCTTTGTTTATCATCCGATGTTCCGCTGTCGAATTACGTGGCCGCAGAAGCACAATACGGCCGGTTAGCTTTACTGGCGGTTTGAGAGACGAAGTCTAGAAAAAATTTTAGATTTATCTCGACGACCGTATACTATAGTGCAAATTATTCATAGGTGTGACCTACTTACCAACGCTTTTTTTCTTTTTTTTAAGACGTCACTTTAAGATAGGTGAGCTATATCTAACAGTGCGACTTACAAACCGTAAAATGTTAAAATATTAGAAGCAAATCAATGTTTGTGTACATAACCGTACGCAAAAGCATGTCAGGCTATTCGACATATAGTCGCGAAAACAAGCTGTGTGAAGTTGGTGCCAGTGCAGCAAACACCCTTCGAAAATGGAGGTCGTTCTAACTTCATCGCAGAACTTTTACACGCCATTTTTACAACCTTCAAAACTAAACGGTGTTCCAGGAGACAGCACCTAATTTTACAATGAAAATGCGTGCATTACTCGAAATAAAGAGGCTGAAAGGAATTAGTCATGAGTATATAACTTTCTAGAACAAACTTTCTAGAGGACGCAAGATTTCTGACAGTGCAATAAGCAGATTTAGTTGTAGCAATTGCACCCACTCACCCAGCAGAAGCATTGTAAGCAGAAAATGCCCCAAGTAGTTGGTCTGAAAGGCCAACTCGTATCCGTCCTCTGTTAGCTGAAGCTTATCATCCACTGTAAAAGAAATATGAAAACGTTGCGCGCTTGGAACAGCACGTTTTGTTGATTAAGTCAACGCCCAATACGTGATTAAGTCAACGCCCAATAATAGAAAATGCACAAGCCTTTACTGAGAATGAACGAATGAGAGAATGAATGAGAATGAATGAGTATATACACCAATATAACCTCATTCATTGAGTTAGTCTATACGGATGCAGACGAGCTGGTTAAGAACTGAAAATTTTAACCCTGGAGAGTGGGGCGAGAAAAGAACAGGACAACACGACTCTTGGATATTCGTGTTGTCCTGCCCTTCTGTTTTCCCACTCTCCAGGGTTACAAATGTAAATATATGCTCAACTTTCCACCAGGAATCGAACCCAAAACATCTGAACCTGCAACCCCGTGCTCTGCCTATGCGCTAGCTGGGCGCGCTTCTGCAGGCACCGGGAAAGGTGCATGTCTTACGTCTCCTACTATACCACGAGTCGGCACTCTCCTTGGTTTCCGAAACAACTCCTCAATGTCTTGCAGACAAATCTAAGCCATCGCTGCTTAAATAATGGATGCTACACATTATAAAACATTCCACATGAAGGTCCCTGTCAATTTTCTCGCCGGTATTCTTGGTACTCACCAAGCGACATTCCAGCGTTGTTGATGAGCACGTCCAACCTTTGCTCCGTCGAGACGATGTCTCTGGCAAAGTCCCTCACCGACTTGAGCGATGACAGATCCAGATGCTTGACCACGACCGTCTGCTGCGTCTCCTCGAAGATCTCGTTCGCCGCCTCCTGGCCCTTGTTTATATTTCGGCAGGCAAGGATGACTCGAGCCTTGCGTCGGGCCAGGTCCTTGGCTGTTTCCTTGCCGATTCCTGTTCATAGCACCCTCCTGTTTAAACCCTTCTCGAGGAATTGAAAATATATTGCATTTTCTGGGCTATGGTTCGTGGATTATACATGTTTAGAAGCTGAATCTTTCCGTGCTGCAGACTATCTACAGGAGCGGACTGCACAAGGATTTGTTTCTTAAGGGTATTCGTATGACGAGACGTGATAAATGCTGTGAATGACAGATGATGTCAATGAAGGTTTTTTTTGCGATATAGGCTTTTTTTGTGCGGTAATAAATCAGGTTTTTCTCAAGATGTGCCGTCTACGAGAAGTGTTAACGTAGGAAATATATAGTACCATGCACAGTGAGCCATACACCTTGTATCTCAGTTAAAAAAGGTATCAGTCGAAATCTGTTTATGCAGACCGCGCGTAGTGCAGACTATTGTCCAAAATATATATTAAAAATAACCATTTATAGGTTATCGTGTAAGTAACAAGGTAAATAGCTATTTACAAGATGTTAAGAAAAATTACAGGAGGGCGCTTAAGACTGCTTACGTGAAGGGCTGCGAAAGCATTACCACACGCGGCGTATTCCTACAAGAACCGCGCCACGTCAATTCCTATCACACACAGCGCTGCGGCGATGACATCACGCTGCCCCACTGCGCAGGCGCGGCGAACTCCGCCGGCTCCACGGCTTCCGTGACGATGCATCTGCGATGCTGTGCTTTTCATTGTGTTTGTTTTTGAGGCGCGCCCGCTTTGACCTTGAGCGCCCCGCCGACTTCCTTGACGAAGCATCTGATATGAAGCGTCGCAGCCAATGGGAACGCGTAGCAGCCATTTTAACTACCGTTTATTTAGATGTTTGTTTTCTCGCGGTCACAGCCAACGCCGGCTGCTCTCCATGGGGCACTTAATGCTTTCGCATTAAAAAAAGGTGTATAAGTTACAAGGAAATTACATATGCAAGTCGCATAAGCGGAAAAACAATGTTTGTCCTGTAGCCATCTCTGTGAATATAATAAACTGATCTGTATCACACTGTGTCCGTAAATAAACATAAGCCTTTTTTCACAAAAAAAAAATCTATTTCATGATACGCCAAATGACAGAGACAAGTGCATAGATGGCGCTGGTGCGCATCTATGGGCTTCCGATATATCTGCTTTTATTGTATCTCCAGCACGTGTATATTTTCTTGCTTGAGTTCCTTCGAAACACTTAACTTATCAAGTCAAGAGTTTCATGCGAAAACGAGTGTGGCTGCATACTAATCGGAGTAAACCCTTCAGAACTATAAAACACAGAACAGAAACCAGATTTGTCAACACCTGATAGTTTGCGCACAAGACTACGATGCCCTTCATTATTTTTTCTCGACTCTACTAATTTTTTTTTCTTTTCAAATGAAATACTCGGGGTGGTAGAGCAGCGGACGTTGACGCGGCAGACGACCAACATCCCAGGATCGCGACATCCGGCAGCACGACATACCGGCTTCTGTGACGTCATTTGTTGCCACATCGAGACCATTTTGAATGCATTGACAGAATAGGACGGGCACAAAGACCCATGGATGTGTCGCGAACATCATGAAGATGCTTCCTTTATTCAAACAAGTATATTAGAGAGTTTTAGGGAACCGTTCTTGCACGTCCAATACGGTACGGAGCACCCTCCGGTACGAACTGCGCATGCGCTATCGCAGAAGACCCCCATCCTACCTTACCGCCAAAGACGGTTCCCTAATACTTTCTATTGTCTAGTTTCCACGGCCAACGATAGTTTTATGGCTGTGTTAACATCTGATACATATATGTGTGTAAGGCATGTTACTATTTTATCGCCGATCCGGCAGGGCAAAGAATCTTAGGTTTTAATTTTGAACAGTAAAACAAATATATGTATTGTATTAAAGGAGGGGAGGAGGGGGGGGGGGGCGAGTTATGATATGAAGGAGATAACTCAAGAGGCCGAGGCGGAAATTTACCTAATTATTTTCTGCCAGTTGGAAACCACTAGTTTTACCTCTTTTCCTCACTTTCTAATTCAAACTACTGCGCTGGGACATTTTTAATCTCTCTTGGAAATTAGGTTATTAGGCTCAACTAGTTCAGAAGTGTATTATTACATTTATGAATAATATGAAAACGCATTGAACCGCGTCCGATGTTTAGCAAGGTTTGGCACTCCACCGTTTGACCTTGTTAGGGTTTATTAATAGTACAGAGAGTTCCATAAGAGCTCATAGGGTTAGCTGTTTTTATTTAATATAAATTCATTATTTTATGTTAATATTGAGAGGGTATTGCGTGTATTTGAACATAAGACTGACTAAAAAACCAAGTAAGTATTCGATTTTCTCAAAAACTCCATTGTTATTTGCCTCACTTTTTAGGCCGATGTATTGTGGTGGTTTATCAGAAAACAATACCTCGAATTATTCAATTTTGTATGAGTGTTTCCTATCAACTTGATTTCTTTCGTGTGCGTTTCTTGGATGGCAGTGTTATAGCTAACTTAAACAAACACCCAGCAAGAGAATAATACATTTGAATGTTTTATGCTTGTTTTATGTAGTTTTTACTATATCAAGGACATAATACTGACTACACTCTAAAAAAAGTCTGTTCGTGCGCTTTCACGCACAGCACTCGGAGAACCAATCAGCGTCACTTACGGAGGCAGCTCAGCGAATGACGATGCCGAGACATCTGTTTAGACCAAAAAACGCAGTCTGAGTTGTGACATTAAACAATGCAAGGGTGACGTTTTGCATTGCTCAATGTCACAACTCAGACTGCGTTTTTTTTTTGATCTAAACATATGCTTCGGCGTTGTCATTCGCTGAGCTGCCTCCGTAAGTTGCGCTGATTGGTTCTTTAAGTATTGTGCGTGAAAGCAGACGCACAGACTTTTTTTAGAGTGTGGCACGGTACCAACCTTATAGACTAATGAATTAACGCACATTCGTTGGGATTCCAGGAGCGCAGAGGATTTCCCCAATGGGAAACGCACAAGCTCTCGACATAACACACACGGGTGTGTGTGCGCGTACGTGCTACGTGTTTGTGTGTGTCCGGGCGTGTGTGTACGCGCGCTTCGGTGTGTAGCTGTGCGTGCGTACGTGCATGCGTGCGTGCGTGTTAGGCTGCAAGGTCACCGACTCATTTGATGACACGCTGCCCATGGCAGGAGCGCCTAAATATGCAGAACGCCGAGCTCTTATTGGCTGACTGAAAATAAACAGTGGATAAACCTCCAGGCAGCTAGCATCGAGGTCTACCCACTACCCATCCAATCCAAGCCAATCGGAGCTCAGCGTCATTCTGAAGTCACCGCAACTCCTGAGCAAGAAGCAGACAGCTTGCTCTCCGCTTTTCTTCATCTACGCTGTACCGAAAGAACGAAAAGCGACTGCGTCAGGGCCCTATTCTGTCACCCAGCCGACACCTGGTTCTCCGCTTGAGCAAGGGCTGGCTTCAGGCCACCCCCCCAACTCGCTCACCATTCGGAACAAAACCTGAAGAGATTCAGCCCTTAATAAACGATATCAAACACAAAAGAAAAGATTAGCCGAGCATTTAAAAAAAAATCTAACATATAAAAAATGGGAAACGGTTTCCAAACTGCCTCTTAAATTCAATGTAGCCTTTCCCCTGTTGTACGTCATAACTAAAAATCGCCATAAAAATATGATTTTTAAGTTTTCAGAAATATATCGAGGATATTAGGATATATCGAATATTTAACAAAAAAAGGTACTTGCGACATTTTGCCAGTTTTTAACGAAGTGACGCGGTTTTACATTGTGAAACAAATATTTTGACCTATAATGAAGTTTTCAATCAGCAAAACAATGCTTTGCTTTGAGTATGTTTTTTTAAAATATCTTACTTGAAGCATATATGTGTCTCATCATTGAAATTCTTCAATAAATATTTTCACCTGCGTTGCCTCCAGTGATGATGACCGTCTTGCCATCCATCTGTTGCGGAGATGTGCAGACGCCCTTGATGCAGTAGTTATAAAGTTTGAGGCACAGCACCAAGACCACGAGGAGAAGGAAAACTGCCGCCACGACCCCGAGGAATATCCATAGTCCGGTAAGGTCCACTCCGCTTTCCGAAGTCTCCGTCGTCGGCGTCTCCGTCGTTGCCATCTCCTTCGTTGTCTCCATGTTTCTTGCTCCTATGGGCAAATCACGAGTGATCCAAGCACAGACAATTACTAGGGTTGCCGAACTTCAGATCTGGCACCACCGAGTAGAATATGAGCGACGAGGTTTTGTCCCAGTTTCGGCGCAAAATATCGACCAACTCAACCTTCTGACGTCACACCACTTTGATGGCGATGCTGTCGCCACTGCGCATGCGCAAATGCGTCATCTCTTGCGCATGTCGTTTCTGCGCACGCGCAGAAACCAGATTCGTGACCAACTTGTGTTGCCTATCAACCTATTGTCCTATCGACCAACCTGTGTTGGTCGATAGGGCAGTTCCACGAAACGTGATTCCTCTCCCGGTGAGCCGCGTGTTGCCATGATGATGAACAGATCCCGCCACTTTCGCCATTTGTTTTACACGCGGACGCTTAGTTAATGGCGTCGTTTTTTTTTTTCTTTTTTTCTGGTGTCGGTAAAATGCAGAAGGAAAAGAAAAACTCAGTAAGTACGATCGGGACGTGTACTTGTTAATTGTTTCTTTCCTTTAAACAAGGGGGAAATGGAGGTAGAGAAGAAATAAAAAAAAAGATAAACCTGCCATTTCAGCTTGACGGGGCCTCTACCCCGCTTAGAGTACAGCTCAAAACAGCGAATCTGCAAATGAACGTGCACATCGAAACAACTTAATAAGAAACACTCGTGCCAGGCTAAATGTGATGGTAAATATTACTAATTACGTCCTAAAAGGGCTTCTTCACATTTTCTTTATCATTCATAACCGATGTCACTCACCACCCGGAGTTCTTTATTTTTTTTTCTCGAAAATATGAAAGGAACATTGAAAGTTAACACTGTTTTCAATTATATTCAACACGGGAAAAACTCGAAAATCAAATTGTTGCTTGCCGTAACTGGTCCTGACTTTAGATTTTTTTTTTAAATATATTTTTCACTTGGTGCACGCTCTAAGCTAACACTCTTTGGGTTTAGGTATATCTTCTCTTTTTGAATCAGCTGAAGTAATTTAATGTGATATATATTATTAACCTTTAGCATAGTGTATACTTTAAACAGGGAGGCTGCACGCAAGTCTCACACCTTACCCTGAAAATTATCAAAGACGCGTAGTATCTGTTTTGGAAGGGCTATTATGTTTCTATAGTTCGTCGTCATAGTTGTGGCACCCCATACTAATGTTGCTTAAAACCGAGTTTATTCTAATTTCTATTCCTTCGAAGTCGCCCGAGCGGCATCTATTTGGGCATTTATAGCCGCCGACAGGTCGACTTCTCAATCGCCGGTTTAACTTATCATAATCATCAGCATCATTATTTATTATCCTTGAAGGCCCTTAAGGCATTGTCCGAATAAAAAATGGTAGGTATAAAAATTGAGTACCAGATGGCGCACCTATGTGTCGCTGACAACTCCTGCAAAAGCAGTCAATCATGACGAGAAAAAATAATTCTACCGAGCAGGAAAACATTCCCTCTCCGCTATGCAGAAAGAAATACGGCGAAAGTTCGTTAACATGGCGTCCGGCAAAATATTCAGCCGGAAGTATGCCACGCGAAACCGCTCTATTCACTAGCTATATTTATAAAGAACGTCGTGAGGCTGCCTTATGAAATTCAGTTCCAGTCGATTGAAACCAGTTATACGTACTTGTAAAAAACCTTGTGCATTTTTAGAGACATAAGCTTACGGTACATGTTTTGTATGTGTTGTGCGACTTATTTTCATTTAAAGCCAGTTTTCTCGGTGTATCCGGCCAAAATATTTTAACGAAAATTATGTAGCATATAGTTCTCCCAACACGTGATTCGTCTTCATATGAATACATATTCACAAAAAAATATCATGTGGCGACATGTTTACACATATGACGAATGTCGGAGTTGAAAGAGGGTACTAAAACCGTAACCGTAACCCGACCCGGAAAACGGTTAGGATCGATTTTTTTTTCGGTAACCGGAACCGGAACAAATTCAATATTTTAATTCGGTGATAACTGTAACCGTAATTGTAATGTCTTAATCCAGTAACCGATATATTACATGGTTTCAAAATTTCCTCTTTCACCAATAATAGAGGGGGGTAGATTAACGATGATCTTGAAATACCATCGGCCTTTGCAGACAGCACGCCGTTTCCACTTTGCTTACTTTCTTCGCGAAAGGAGCCGGGAAAAAGAGCGGGGGAGCGAAAAAGAAAGCGTCGACGCGCGGAGCTGGAGGGGGTTCCGTGTTCCAAACCAGAGATCGCAGTAATGACATTAGGGTAATGAAATTGCGGCAAATAAATGCATATTTGTGGTAATGAGCAATATAATGAAATACGTTTCTCTTGTAGTAATTTAGTAATGCAATTAATTAATTTGGGGTAGTAAGTTCGCGAAAATAACTAATTAATTTTGAAATTACTTTTGACCCAGATTACATAATTCGTTTCTGAGCTGTGAAAAAAAGAGAGAGAAATTATTTTTCATGGTGAAATGTCGTGAAAGAGACATCGGAGCAAATAAACGACGGCCATACGAGTGCAAACTTGCAGAGATGGCAGTAATGACATTACTGTAATGGAATTACAGTAATTAAATTACTTTTCCGAGTAATAAGTAATGTAATGAATTGCTTCTCTAGGCTATTAATTTTGTAATGTAATAAATTACTTTCAGGCAGTAATTTCGAGAAAATTGCTCATTACTTTTGAAATTACTTTTGTCCTAAATTGGAAAATTGGTTTGCAAGCTTTAACAAAGAAGTGAAAATTTATTTTACATGGTAAAATGTGGTGAAAGAGCATCAGAGGAAATAATCGACGGCCACCTGAGCGCAAAGCCTTGTACGAAGAGCTGGACAGACGCCAAAAGGAGGGCTGGAAGGGCGAAGGAGATATGCTTGCGTGTAGACATCGCTGGAAGGCAACGGCTTACGAACTCCAAGCACAACCGATTCACGGCTTCACGTCATCACGACGATACCATACTTCGTTCATCCCTAAGCTAACAGTGCGGTGGGAGCTGCAAGCTAACCGGAACCAATCAAACACCTTCTTTTAATCACGTGTCCCGTCCCTTTCTCTGCGCCGGGGTATGAATGAGAGCGTGGTTACTGGTTTCGTGGCGAACGATAGACACGTGACTGTCCCAACAAGGACGTAGCTTCCACCGCACTGTCAGCTTGAAGAATAACGGCTCATAGGCTACAATGAGAAGGGCTCATCACGAGTGAGTTAAACATAATTTTAAACCTGAGAAGAAGGGACAAACTGGCCCCAGCCTTCTTGCTTTTTCGTCAAGCAAGGTCAAACCGCAAGCTTCGACTATCGTGAACAACAAACGACCGAAATGAATAGTTAATCCCAAATATCTTGTCAAGGCCCCAGAACGTTTCGTGCGTTTTGCAGTCGGAAAAGACGGGAATTGAGCAAAGTAGGTGCCGCTCGCAGATATGCCTCGCTGCCTTTCCTTGGGGAGTTCATTTGGGAATAAGCCTACAAGGAGATATCACCACTCGTTTGTTGAAAAAGTACAAACTTTAGGAAGCTCGAACCATTCCTTTTCTCAACGTGGCACTTCTGCCTAGAAAATATCAAGCCCCTTGTGTGACAACGCGCAAAAACGTTTACTCTTCGGGCGTTCGGAAACAATACTCCTTGAGAGGAATGACCGGGCGTCCGAGGCGGAAGAGAAAAGTTCTCTTCCTCTCTATATCTTCTTAAAAAAATGGAAACATCTTTTTAGTAAGGACCTTCACCATTGAATGAATAACGAGACCAAAGAGTCGACTGTCTTTAAGTTACATCTAAAGAAGAAGGTATTGATAATGTGGAACAATTCAGTCGTGTGCGCCAGAAAGACAACTTTTGGTATGGTTCACTTTGAGGCTGCCGCCGTGTAAACAGGATGATCTGAGTTTCGGTACAAGTTCTGTAAATAAAATGAGCACGAATTACTGCCTCGAGGTTTTCTAAAGGTAATGTCAATGGAATTTCAATACTTTCGGAAAGTAATTGTCATGTAATGTCATTACTTTTAGCCTATGGTAAATTGTAACGTACATTAATTACTTCTAGAAAGTAATTTTGCCATCCCTGTTCCATACGGTGGGACGGTTGGGACGACCCGCTGTGGACGGTGGCGCCGGCAAAATGCTTCCTTTGCTACGCGCCATTTCAGGTTAACTGGATCCCGAAGCCGAAGTGAGGCACGTGACAACGCACCACATAATCATAAACTCGTATGGAACGTCGCTCCTTACTGGTTTTTTTAGAACCATAGTTTGCCGAGCTAAGGCTCACGGAGAAGGTCTGCTGTAGCCAGAGGTCTCTGTGGTCAGGACGATTTCAACAAAGCAAGAGAAACTGCTCCCCACACGGGACTTTCGAGAGCCCGTAGATGCCGTTGACGCCGTTCTGATGTCGACAACGGAACGGTGTACTAACAAAAACGACTTGGGCCGGACGTCGGTGGCCGCCAGAGTTCGTTTCTGCCGGGTATGCGACTGGTGAGTGAAAGCTTAGTGGTTCTCTGTTGTTCTTCCGTCGTATGTGCCCATTTTCTATTCCCGAAATATTTTATTAGCAGAAAATACACGATCATGTGGAATGTCCGCATTTTTCAGAGGGGACGACGCTTTATCGAGCGAAACCTAGTCCACGGTGTTTCATCGAATGAAGGCGTTCATTTGAGCCAATGCGGTCGCTCGGTCAACATTAATTCATTTAAATGAAATTAGTTTAAACAACTACTTTCCATTTCCTGAAATGTAATTAACTTTTCGTGGTACTATCTCCTGCGAATGAACGTTACTGTAAACTTCATTTTAAGTGAAGCTAAAGAGGTTCTTGTAAAAAAAAACACGAGATAGAGGTGAATGTTTGCGGATTTTTAACCCGTGAATTCGACTATCAAAAGCATTTGACCCAAACGTATCACTGGACACGAGAAAAAAAAAATATTAACCGCCGGGTGTGACGTCATACCCAGATGTTTCAACTGCCCCTCGCATGCCGCTTGTGATGTAACGTGCGCAGAGCTTTCGACTGTTCTGGCAAAGCTTCCGAAAGGAGCGGGAATGTTTAGACCTCCGCATAACGTCTGGATTCCCTCCTCTTACCGAACGCGCCGGGAAGGAGGCGGGGCTTTAGAGCTATTTTCGAAGTGCCATTGTGGCTACTTGGCACATCAATCCGAAATATAATTTTGATATTCATGATGTTGAAGGCCAAATAAAGACGCCTCTAAGTGTCTGTTCTTTCTCCAAAGGAGAACCGTTTTAGTTTCCCATTAATGAAATTATCACGACGTTCAACTTACAAAAATAGTTATTTTGTGCATGAGACACGCATAGTCTGCTCGCCAATAGAATAGTTTACTTTTGCCTCCGGTGGAAAGACGAGCGTTTAGAAACGTTATAATAAGGACTCTAAAAAAACGGCTTGACTGAGTTTGTTGTTTAGAGAAGACATTCAGAGCACCAGATATTCTACTCCCAATACAGCCCCGATTTCCAGTATTAAACGATTCCAATGCGTCCTCATGGAAGTGATGCGCGAAAAAAGCCGAAATGACAGAGATGAGTCAGCTTACTAAAAAGAGAGACATCGAACAAACAAAAAAATCAGTTTTAGGGGCGGCTAACCGGCTAAAAAGAAAACCTAAAAGATAAAACCATTTAAAAATAAGAAACGGTAACCGTAACAGTAACTTAACTGTTATATTTGTAAATTTCAGTCCCTGGTTGAAAGAGAAATACAACCTTCGGAATAAAATCGAAACCTAGCACAACCTTCCATCTAAATGAACCTGTTGACAAAGATATAAAATTTCCATATGCCTTCATGAAGCACTGGTATTTTATTTGTCGTATAAAGGTATAATATTTAACTGCATAACTAAATTTAACTAAACTAAGGAGAAAATATTGGCTGCAGCGGAGCTTTTTTGCTCATAGAAGCTTGCAATATCCTAGGAATTTCCAATACAACACTATCGTTTCTCAACAAGAACTTTTCATATTTCCGCAAAAGCTAAAAGTAAAATTAAAAAAAAATAAAAAAATGCATCGAATTAGCGATTCTACAATATACTGTACCAGCATTATGTAAGTATCCGGGTTGGAATTCCTTGCTTTGTCGAACTTCCACTCTGGTGGACCGATATATTTCTTTTGAAATAAACAAATATTTAACGTAAATAGTGCTGTTCACCCGGAAACAGGCATCCGTCGCGGTGATCCGTTATTTCCAGCGTCTGCCTACTGCAGACTACGCATACACAGAAGTGATTATTTAAATTTAGGCCGTACACTTGTAACACGATTCAATCTTTACTGAAGCACCGAACCTTACCGCACCATTTTCTGCTAACATCGTTTTTCCAGCGATATTATGCGACCAAATACACACAAGTATCTACACCGCTTCGAGCGCGAACGTGGAGGAGAGCCTATGGGGCAGCGATGCTTCTATACCCGATTTGATGATGATGATAGCGCGACAGTTGCGCCATTTCTAAGTCGATCTCGAGGCCAATAAGGGACGCTGAACGGGGTTCTTTACTCTGTCCCACTATCAGTCCGTCTGCTATTGCCGACTAAACCAATCACGCACAGTAGGAATGCCACCATCTTGCGCTCTCTTTTTTTTTTTTTTTGTGTGAGCGTGATTTATATGCTTAGCTAGTGATAGCAGAGGCACGAAGACAACCGGCATCGTGACGATGCACTTTTGGTGCACCTTCATTGACTACTTCGGATCGTAGCGTGGGCTGCTGAAGTTTTAAAGAATGCGATTGTCGTGCCTTGACACTTTACGTGGGCACTACGAACTGCAGAAATACGAATGTGCTTATCTGCGTGTTCTTCTGTATTTTGTCTGAACCTTTCTTTATTTTGATTTTATTTTTTCTTGCCCGTGTTTATATTTCCTTTACGTTCCCGCCCCGCTTGTTTTAGGGGTGCGAGAATATAATGATTGGAATCCAAGAGCGTTGCGTCATTAACAGCTTCCACAGTGCAAGAGAAGACCACGACGCGACGGCTAACTTAATTAACGGCGTTCAAGCTAGAGCTGCGCTTTTCGATTCGATCCTCGAGTCAGTTTTCACACGCTCCTACTTACTTATTATTTTTCCAAATACTCTTCTTTTTTTTTTTTCTTTTTTTACTTGCTTTCCTTTTTCTTTTTTTTTTTTTTCTTTTTATTTACAGTGGCACCAAACTTTCCTGTTGCCAGGTTCGAACCAAAACACTTAGTCAAATGTAACGGCAATCGACCGGATTGTAAACAAACTTACAGGTAACATTGTTACTCTGTCTAACACGGAGGATTTAAGAGATGCGCGTAAAACACGTGACCTGACCAGGCGCTCAACTGTAACTTGCGTGGTTAAACGCTTCCGTAAATACACTCTCGCCTAACGTCTTTCCTTGAAAAGCAAAATACAGACCGTGAGGCTCGCATTCGCCTAAGAGAGAACAATCAACTCACCCCGAGTGAAATCAGGCGTAGTATCTCATCACGTGTTCCGTACTCCGTGTCCTACACTCGGCGCCAGGATAAAACGGCGAGAGAAATGATCCGAGGCGAGCTGCCGCTGACCACAGAAGCGGACGAGCCATCCGTGGGTGTGTGTCTCATTCGAGCCCACATGTCGAAACCGTGCCGACGCCGTTCTTGCTCGTTATCTGAAGCGAAATTTCGCCACGGTCGCCTCTTCCCCGCGACCTTCACTGAGGTACGACTGAGGAAAGGCACCAACGCGACCCGGCTCACCTTGAAGCCTCTCCATCAAGCGCTCGAACAAACGCAGCTGCCGACGCTCGTTCGGTTTCTCCTACTTCGAGCTGAAGTTCCGGCACACTATTGGTGGCGGCCATTTTACTTTATTTCATTGTGTTTACCTGGCCGCACTGGAATGTGGAAAGTCACTGGAAGACATTTATTTTCAATGGGAGAAGGATGTGCGACTAACGAGGGAAATCGTATTCTGGAGTAGTGTGGGTATAATGTCTTGAATCCAAAAGCGCAGCGTCACCTCACTTGAATTTGATTCAGTATAATTATATTTCCAAGTCAGAGTTGGGGATCCCCCGACGAAAGGCTGCCACAGACAACTTGCAGGGAAAAGTTCCTTGATACCTCTTTTTACAAGTAACGACAACCAATACAAATGACAAAGTACATTCCGCCGGAACAAGATGGCGCCAGTCAGATTAGTCTTCTGCCATGCTCCGCCAATCGCTCCCTAAAAGCTGCACCGTCACGTAGTCGACGCTTCAAAGAATGTCGCTGCTTGTATGAAGCTCTTATCTAGGAAGGTTCTTGGCGGCGCCCCCTAGCATAACCAAGGTCTCTGAGCATCCTTCTGTCACAGTCTCATGGCAACACCGCATTTTTGCATCACCAGCGAATGCCAACGCTAGAAACAGATTGGAAATGAGCGCTATGTCAGCGCTCGGCTTCGAATCAAGTTTCAGCCTAACGTTGACGCAATCGTAGTGTCCAATCTGTTCACAGCGTTGGTCTTCGCGGATGACGACATCTCTGTCAGCACTACGACGTTGTTATGCAGGAGGTGTTGCTCATGTGGGCCAACTCAAAAATTGTACCCGAGCCTGATGCAGAGCGTCCTTTGACTCGTCGATTGAACGCATCGAATGAAGAGAAGAGTGATGCCGCAGCATTTTTCTCTTCGTTCGATCTTACAACTGTGACGAATCAAAATTTTTGTGCACAGGCTTTTTCTCATTCTAGGCAGTGCTTCACAACACAACACCTTCCATAACGTCATCCGCAAATCGAGCAACCTGTTTATCCTATGGTGCGTGTCCAAGAAAAGACATCTTCCGAGAATATTATTCCACAACTTTAAAAGAATGCGAAAGCTTTCCAGAATAGACAATCGGTAGCGTTCCAACAAAAAATTATATTAAAAGATATGCCTAAAAAAACATTTAAAATTGCATAAATATCAGCAAGGTCAGTTTTACATTAGCAGTGCGGAAAAAGCCGGTAGGTCGGGAGTTTTTTCAGCACTATGACGGCTATGAATGACGCAGCGCTATTCAATTTGAATCACAATTCGCGCACCCCTACTCACTGAAAGGGGCTGTGCGAATAGTAGAAAGAATCAAATAGCGCAGCGCAGAGTTCGTAGCCTTCACAATGCAAGGGAAAGTCACAACAAGCACTTTGCACAATTATTCGCCAACCCATACTTCCTTGCCGTGACACCGCAGTACGCATACATGTAGCAGAAGAGTTGTTGCAATAGTAACACAGTTGGCTGTATACAGTACCTATGATTATATTTGAAAGCAAAACAGCTAAATGTGCCACACATCGCATAAGCTAAATAAAAATAACTACTATGTAAGAGAGACAGGCACCGGGACAGCCATGTTTTTAGTTGAACAGACGCGATCTATTCCCGTTGTATTGTTTCCTGGTTTTCTGGATCTTTGATGCAGTATAAGTTAAGATTTTTCATATATACGCCACACTGAACTGGTCAAAATGTCTAGTCGACTGTGCTTAAACACTGGCATGTGAACACGGGGCAAAGCAAAACGCAGCGCTGTATAAACTACAAGTATAACTCGTCGTTTCGATAAAGTAAAAAAAAAAGCACGTTTTCAGACAATAAAGAGTCGCGCCTACCACAACGTTTAGAGTTTTTAGACGTAAACCCAACGTTGATCCAAGTTACGACAAATGCGATAGCAACGCCGCTTCTGGGTGCATCAGTGCAGTCCGAGAAAAATATTAATTCTTTACTTCAAAACGAAGGCGGTCAGAAAGGGGACAAACACAACACCACATCTTCCATAACGTCATCCGTAGATAGAGCAACCTGTATATCCTATAATGTGTGTCCAAGAAGAAACATCTTCGAGGAAGACTATCCCATAATTTTAAAAGAACGTGAAAGCTTTCCAGAATAGAGGAAGCCTATGCTAATGCATCCATAACTTTCGACAGCTGGAATGTTACGCGCTCATACGGGTCAGTAGACGTGCTTCTTTCTTTCTTTTCTTTTTTTTTCTTTAAACTTTTTTTGTGCGATGACCGGATTGTTTGCAGTACTGTAAATAAGTAAATAAATAAATAAAAGAAAGATACGATTTTACAACTTATCACACGTGGCTGTTTTTACCTTCGTTTGTGTTGGTCCCCGTCCAACTGGAACTTGGAAAATTCCAAAGTATGATGACTGAAACGCGCCTTCGAGTTGCGTGCTTCCCTCCCTATCTCGTCCATGTATCGGAAGTGGTCCCGGGGGGCAACAATTTGCGTCACAGGAGCCGTTGCGTCACGCTGTAGGATGTCCCGATCTTGGTAATTAGTCGTAGGCGTGCTAGCGGAAAAGGCGAGCGGACGCCAGGGTCGCTGTCGTCGCGGCGTCCCATCTCGCGTCTGCTTCGGGGTCCTTCGACTATCTGCAGCAGCGCAGGCGTCCGTCGCGTCCCCCTCCGCAGCTGTGCAGACAACACTTCTGTGACGTTATCAGGCGGAAATTGGGGACCACATTTTAAAGCACGTGGTAAAAACTCCAGTGGGAGACACGTTCTGGGCACCCCAAAGTAGCGAAGTCATCGTGAGATGCAGCGACCGGGTATCTGCCGTGTCGAGAATGCGGCAGCGCGGGACGTCGAGGAAGTCCCGTTGACCTCCCCTGGCACCTTGAAACGCTCCCCGTTCCGCTCGTGCGCCCCCTTCTTTCTCTTTCTACTCCGGAGGTTCGCCCGTACGCTTGCGCAACCGAAAGTGACCTTCGACAACGAAGCAATTTTGTTTTGTGTGTGTGTGTGTGTTTTTTTTTTTTTTTTTTTTTTTTCGGAGTGGTTGCATTCCGCTGGTGTTGCTTCTCTGCATTACATAGATGCTCGATGAGAAGCGCACTCAACAGGATAACCCGCCGCGATAAACGCTTTGAAAGGTATGAGTATCGTAGTTGCGTGCTTGGGAGTAAAGCATACATTCAAAGCGGGATGGTGCACCTGTGCCGACTGTGTTTGAAAATAAATCAAAACTTTGTGAATGTGTATATCTACATTGTAGTAAAATTTTCAAAATTAAACTGTTATGTAAATTTATACTATGTTAGGCAGAGATGTCCCTACAACCTGCGTTCATCATGCACGATTCATTCTTTTTTAACGAGATTTAAAAAAAAGAATATTTTATATAGCAAGATTTGTAAATTCACTGCTTTGGGTATAGTTGGCCATCTCTAGAAGATTCATTTTATGTCAAATCCGTCGTTTGCTTGCCATCCCAAGACACCAGACCTTCTGAGGTCACAGTATATAAATATACATAAATTAAACTTAGCTTATAAATGAACAAGTGGAACAACCTTCACAAGTTTAGCTAGGTTTTTGTCTAAGAATTATGGAATGGTAGTGGAAGGCGTGGAAAAGCTATTCGATATTGAAATCGAAAATATTCGGCCAATCCACTATTCGCTTCGAATTCTCTTCAAACTCAAAATCCACTATTCGCACAAGACTAATTATAGACTTTTTTTCTTTCCAAACGCCAGTAGGGGGTGCTCGAGAGTCTTTGACGTCCCAGAAAACTTCCGATTTATGTTTAGAGAAATTGTACTTACATGTTGTACTATCGGGTTCGAATGAAATCCGAACAGTGACGGACCTTCGAGCGCCTTACCGGCGCGGCGTGGAAGCTTGGGTTGTGCTGGACGAAGTTCAAAGACGCCAGACTAGGACGCACTCCCCTGAGCACTCTACTCTCCACCACGCTGTTTTGTCAGTTTCCAGAGGCCTCATGGGAGGCGAAGCATTTCCCGACGTCCACGAGGCTCCAGCGTTCGCACTTCATTCGAGCCCGTATAGTACATCAATCTACATGTATGGGTCAGTGGGACATTCGGTGTTCAAAACAATCAACAGAACTGGCGCCTGGGAGGACGTGACATACTGCGAGGCAGCGGCTGCAAAAGCGCGACTACAGAAGAATACGTTTTGCCTAAAGGAGTGGGCCTCCCCAGGTGTCCGCGTTGCTCACACATTCGGCGAGGGGCGCGAAAGAGAAGGAAATGTTCTCATTCACAAGGGTCACGTAGTGACAAGACCACCTCCGCAGTCTTGGGTAGTATCGCGGTACTGTAACTCGTGACATTTTAGAGCGCAGCTCTCAGGCGCCCGTTTCCGGGTTGAGCGGCGTCGCCGTCGCCGTCGGCGTAATCGCACGTTGCATTATGGGACCTTTCGCATAATGGTCACACGTGACGTCACGTGAGACGTCACGAGGGTAAAATTTTACCGCAAAATTGGGTGGGAAATTTTTCGCTAAATTTGGTGAGAATATTTTTTTGTTTGCTAAATTTAACGGGGAACGTTTTCCGCTACATTTAGCGGCGAAACATTTTTGCTAAATTTAGCGGGAAAAGTTTTCCGGTAAATTTACTGGGGAAATTGACGTCACGTGACCTCAATACCAGTTCAGTTTCCCCGCTAAGTTTGGCGGAAAAAGTTTCGCTAACTTCAGCGAAAATTTTCCGGTAAATGGGAGGAGGGGCATACCCTTCCCTCCTTCTCCTCAAGAGCTGCGCTCGAATTCGGCATTGCAGAGAATTCTAAACGTCTTTAATTTTTTTTTTGTAACTTTTAACTGTAATTCGATACAATTATTTT